TCCAAGGTTAGAACCAAGGCAGAACACCATGAACACAAGAGTAGAATAACAAAGATATATTACAACAGAAATATAGTACAAGAAGTTGAAGGTGTTAATAATGACTGTCCGTCTGGTTTAGAGTGAACTAATATTGTCTCGACTCGTTACACCATTCATTCATTAAACCTCTTGAGAGGCACAGTATTTATATTGTTAGGAAGAGTCCATTATCGTTATAGGTAAGTTCCCATAACACTATCTATCTATCCCAATCTGTACATCTCTCTCTTTGCCTATGTATATGCATGTGTATACCTATATATGTACATATATAAATATATGTATGTGTATTTAAAAAATCCCCCTTCCCTATTGTTTAAAGAATCCCCCTGGTTTAGCCAGTCACGTGAGATCATGGATCAAGGGAGGCCAGGTTCAAATTCCTGTGAATGCAACCCTACCACAAAGACCTGCAGGTTACTTGTGCACATTTTGGGACAAGGTTTCTAAGTCTTTGACAAGGTTTTTAAGTTTGTCAAATGATTTTACACAGGAACAGGCAATTTGCCAACACACACAAACTTCCTGTTAGCCATGTGTGTAAGAGAGGTTGTAAAAGAGAAGCTGTTCTTAAGGATCACTTATGGGATCATAGCAGAGTGTTAGATCAGGTAAAAATGATGGAAAAAATAAAATTCTGAATTAAAAAAACATGAAAAAAACCTACCAAGTGAAGAGATGGTCTTCTTCTGCAAAGAAATGACAATCATCATTGTTTAACATTAGCTATATTGATTAGGAGGCATAGTGAATTAATGGATAATGGCTCGGATTAACGAATTGGAGATCCAAGTTGAATCCATTACATTCACTTACATGCTAATACCCTTGGGAAAGGTATGAATCCTCTTCCTTTCACCCCCAGCTATGAGTAAGTAGAAGGACATACTGGGTTCTATGGGTGGTAATTGGTTGAGAAGAAGAACAACTCTGAATTCAAACCGGCTGCCTTGCTGTGGCTATGGCTGCAGTTGCAGTACATGGGGTACCCCTATGACCCTTATGAGTCACAATGTTTATGATTATGATATTTATTGGGGAGAATGCTCACTATTTAAAATAGTTCATTTGTAGATAGAAATAATGTGAACAAAGGAATCAACATTGCATGGTGACTGCCAGTTTAATACTTCTAGCTAAATTCAGACAATGTGTTGCTACACCTTGTGGGGGATGATCACTAGAGATTTATGTGAGGTGGAAGAAGGGGAAAACTGGGTCCTTCTCAGTTTGTTTAGGGTTAAATATGTTTGGCTATTTGTAGTCCTATCCCCTTTTCTATCTATTGTAAGGATTTTATTTTATAACAAATTTTATAAACAGAAGTAAAATTTTTGTTAATTTTTCAGAATAAAAGCCACACATCAAAATTAAGACATAACTTGAGAATAATGACTGTTATATAACAGAGATGACATATTCAAAATACCAAAATCAATCTCTTTCTTACCCACCAGTTGCTTTGATGCATGACTTTCATATAAGTTAAGCAACAAAATAGTATTACACTACTTTTGCATAAAATTAAAAACTTCAATGCAATAGAATTATATTGATTTGAAAACAAATTGTGATGAGTGATGCAAAGTAGATACCATACAACAATGTGGATCCAAAAGAGCAAGATTCAAGAGAAATAAACTATTACTAACTTTACCAAAGGTTAGTATTTATCCCCAAAAGAGGATTATATATATATATATATATATATAAAAAAGTTGGAAAGGAATCTTTTATGATGAAGTCTTTCCAGAGAACCAAATAATTGATTCAAACAATTACTGCTACCATTTAGATTAATACAAAGTGACATCAATAAAACAAATCAACAATTAATTATTAGAAAGTGCATCATTTTTCATCAGGATAATGTGAGACTGATTTTTGGTGACCAGTCAAAATACTTACAAGATGGCTGAGAAGTTTTCTCTCTTCTGTCAGTCAGCAGATTCTAAACCTTTTTCATTAACATTTATTGCAGTCTTATTGTAGAATACACTTAAACAAAAATCACATCCAATTTCCTGAAAGACTACAAAAGACATTTACAAAAGTTCTTTGATCAGAAAAATGAATAATTGTATTTGGATGGAATTATGAAGCTGCCTGAAAAATGGTAAAAAAAGGGGAACAAAATGGTAAACATTTTGTTCCAGAAAGTTGATGATGAAAATAAAAAAAAATGATCTTTTAGTAAATAAACCATATGAACATTTTTAGCTAACCAATATTTTCCCATTTTTTTCTCTCTCCTCAAAAATATTCTTCACTTTACAATTTGTTATTTTTTATCATCTTTTTCTCCAAGGAAATTCTTCTTCAATTTTCTTCTCTGTTCCTCTTTATCCGGACTGCCATCTTTGAATGATTCACTTACCATTCCTTATAGACCTTCCCTACCATCATTATCCTGTTGTCTTCAACTAGGTAGACATTTCAATGTGGCCAAAATTGGTTCTAAACATCAAAAAATGACTGTCATCAAAATAAGAATAATTTTTAAGGTTTCATGAGTTAAGTCAACTAAATGTGTGAAATGACATTTAGTAAGGAGAAGAAAAAAACAATCAGAAAAATGGAAACATATTTTTAAAGTAAGAGAAAAAAGTAAAAGAAAAAAGAAAGAGAAAAAAAGAAAGAGAAAAAAGAGAAAAAGTAAGAGAATTAAGAAAGAAAAAGTAAGAATAAAAAGAAGAGAAAAAGTAAGAGAAAAAAGTAAGAGGAAAAAGTAAGAGAAAAGTTGGACAAAATGATGATAAAGACCATGTAAAGTCTGAAGAGATGAGAAGTTAATGATACAGGAAAAGTAGAGTTTTCACACACACATGCACACAGCATGCTCGTGAGCACACGCACACACACACACACACGCACACACACACACGTGTGTGTGTGTGTGTGTGTGTGTGTGTGTGTGTGTGTGTGTGTGTGTGTGTGTGTAATCTTTAATTAACTAAAAATGAATAAACTAAAATAATAGCTGAATGCTTTCTAGACTATGTTATAATATAAACCTAGAATTTTTAATGTTTTCCTTTCTTTAATTTCCTTTCTGTTGGTAACAGTATTTATTCTATTTCATGACAGATTCTAGATTAATCTCTTAAAAAACAAATTTCATGTCCAGGGAATAAATCTTTAGAATCAACCATTTTATTTTCAACAGTAATCAAGGTTATGTTTGCTGAGATTGTAAAAATGATAGACATAAATTGTGAGTCAGAAAAGGGGTGCAAGTTCAGCTGTAGGTGACTTCTTTTCTTCATTTTCTGCAATTAATATTCCAAATGATTTGGCATTTTGTAAATCAGTTTTGTCAAAATATGGAAGAAACGTGCAAAAAATAATGAAAATTAAAAAAAGTAATATTTGAGAAAGAAAAAATTAAAAAGATGTTGCAAATAAATAAATAAAGAAAGAAAGAAAGAAAGAAAGAAAGAAAGAAAGAAAAAGAAAGGAAAATTAAAAATAAAGTTGTTGTAAAGAACTAAAAAACAGACAGAAAAGAAAGAAAGCTAAAATGAAAAAGATGTTCTAAATAAAGAGAGAAATATTAAATGAAAGAAAGAAAAAGAATGAATGAAAGAAAAAGGAAGAGAAATGGAAAAGGTGTTTAAATAAAGAAAGAAAAATAAAGAAAAACAAAAAAGAAAGTTGTTAAAAAGAACTAAAAACAAACGAGAAAGAAAAAATGTAAAAAAAATGATGTTGCAAAAAAAAAAAAGAAAGAAAAAGAAAGAACAATTAAAGAAGGAAGAAGGTAAAAAAAACAGAAGCAAGAAAAAGAAAGGAATAAAAATGTGAAAAATAATTTGGATTGGTAAATGAAATACTTGATGAGGTGAAGAAGAAAGAAATACAAAGATAAAAATTGAAAGAGAGTAAGAGAAAAGAAAAAGTAATAAAAAATATATATCAAAAAGACAAAGAAAGAATGAAAAAATTGAATATGGTCCTTACAGACTCATATGTTGACATATTTAATGACTAACCCTAATCAATATGCATCTAAATGGAAAGACATTTGAAATAATGACTTCCTATCTATTTTATGGAGAGTCTTTATTATCCTCTGGACAAAGATGAATGATAAGTAATCTGAATTCTTTCTTCTTTTAAGAGAAATTGTTTGATCCCACTGTATTTTTTGCCTTGTATTTATTTTCAAGATAATTAGTTAACTAATTGCACTTTGGCTGCCATGACAGATGATGGGGGGTGTATTGATTGGAATCGTTTGCAGTTGTAGTTGCTTGGAGAAGATGGCAAATTAATGGAAAATCATCAAGCCAACTCTTTTCTATTTTCTTGGTTAGCCAAACAAAAATGTTTTTCGGGTTTTTTTTTTTCCTAGAAATTTTTAGGCTAATCTGGTTGATTTTGTTTTCACTTGCTATTTTTAGCATTTCTTTTTCTTGGAATTTTTGCAAAATAGGTGGTGAGAGCTTTCATCACCACCATCTTTGGAGATTCATTTAGTTATGTCTAACTACAACTAACAGATTCTATTGGCAGTGGGTGGAATTCACACTGAAACTCTAAAATTGTAAGAATTTGAACCTTTTCTTGCCAGGTATAACATTTATACTTCCTGATTGAGAAAAATGTGTGTAAATTGACATTTAGAAACACATGATAGAGCTTAAGGCTCATGAACTTTTATTCTCTTGCATTAATATTCAGGTGGAAGCTAAAGATTGGTTGAAGTTGGTAAGACATAACAACAAGCAGTATAGGTCGAAACTTAATGAAAGAAAACACATGAATAAAGACAAAAGGAAAACTTATCTTAGTTGACACTTTTTTGTCCTCTAGGGGACATTATCAAGTCAGATGCAAGGATTTTATTTTGTAACATGTATTTATATACAACAGCAAAAATGTTATCGGATTTTCAAAATTTTTAAATTTAAGAATGTTCTTAAATATTTATCAAGTTAGCCGAAAAATCAGGCAAG